GCGGGAGCTGGCAGCCACCGGCCCTGCTGCGCCCTCCTGCACCCCTCCCGGCTCTCCCCCCACCCACGACACGGGGAAGCCCGTACTAAAGGGGGTGCAGCATCTGGGGTGACAATGGCTGTTGGAAATGCTGGTCCCATATAGGACAGGGATAGGTTCCCCCAGCTTAGGCCTCTGCCATCCTCCCACAGCATCCTCCCTTGTCCTAAAATTTCTGTCCTTCCTTGTGCCGGGTCCCTGCTTGTGCCAAAGGCGACACTTCTGCAGGGGAACGCTCTGAGTCCCCAGCAGATCTCAGTGCATTGCTCCGCACTGAAGAGCTCCTCTGCAAGGTCTAGAAATTATCTGCTGCTAATAATTAGTATTTTTTGACATGCTCATGCTGCTTTAGCACCCCACCAACGGCCTCAGGACTTGTTTGTGAAGTTGGATGTGCTGTGCGTACTGGTGTCGGTGGTTTGTGGTTGCTGGAGGGTGGCAGGGGCAGGAGGAAAGTCGGAAAGGCCCTGCAGTGCCTTTGCAGAGGCAGCTGTGAGAGCTCGGCCACCCAGGACCACGCAGCTGAAGCACAACCCGCGCTGCTGGGACGTGTGGGGGGAGCAGGCGCGGAGCTTGCACAGCCCCAGAGCCAGCAAGTGCCTTTATTTGCAGCACTTGCAGGCTTGGCTGCTTCTCCGTATCATGGAAAACCACCCCCACATTTTTCTATGGCATAAGATCGGACACTGGGCTGATTTGTGACTCTGAGAGCTCACAAGAAGAGCCATGGGACAGGGAGAAACAGCAGCCCCAAGGCCCCAGGTGTTGAGCGCCACATGTTTACCGAAATGCGGAAATTTAAGTCATTAGCCTGCAGATGCCTCCCTTCCTGCGCTTGCCCACTCTTGAGCTCTTCTGCTCAGCCTTGCGGTGCTGCTCACCGCAATCTGGGCCCCATAAAACAGCCCTGTTGCTGTGACTAAGAGGCAAGTTAATCCCGAAAGCAGCACCGAAAATCCCCTTTATGGCAAAAAGTGGTAAGGGCAGGCATTGAGCTGCTCCTGCCCACATTCTCATGTCCAGGGTACCAAAAGATGGGGTGGGAGACCTTCACCCTCCTGTTGCTGCTGGGTGGACATGCTTAGCTGGTCCCTTGAAGTTGCCTGGGGATAGGAGAGCCCTCAAACCCCAGGGGCGAGCCCTGGCAGACCCTGGGTGCTCGTCACAGGGCTGGGGGCTGCTATGGGGCTGGGGGCTGCGGAGGCATTTGGGGCCGGTCCCAGGTTGGAGGTGACCTTGGGGAGCCTGTGCTGGGCTGGGGCCGGTGGGCGGACAGCATACCAGGCTCCGCTGCGTGCCCTGGGGGAGGCGGCTTGGCAGCCTCGTCCTTCCCATCACCGGTCTGCGGGGCGATAAGCGGGCACTGGTGCAGGTGCCACGGCCGGAGCCCGGCCCCGAGCTGCGGGCACTGTCCCCAGGGGCCCCTTCGCCTCCAGCTCCATCCACCCACGCGTGACCGCTCGTGGTCACCACTCGCCCTTTGGTTGTGCTCCCAGCGTGAGATGGCCAAGATGCTTTCCCGAAAGATCAGGGCTGAGGCTTGGCCAGCTTCCAGGGCTGGGGTGAATTTATTTTTGGGGATACAGGAACTATATGTAGCAGCAGGAGCCAGAGAAAGGTCAGGACGCAAAACTCGGGGCTGTCAACGGCGCGAAGGGTTTGCACACGGTCTGCGGCACGGATCTGACTGTACGAGAGCTGATAGCCATCTTATAACACAACCGTCGCCGGAGGAAAAACAGCGGCAAAGACAGGTCCCACGGCCCCATGCCAGCGTTGCTCTGGCAGCACTGAGCATCTGCCGCAGGTCCCGGGGAGGTTTTTAGGGTCATGGGCCAAATCCTGGCCCCCTTCTGCACAGCCACAAAGCAAAGCCTTGTCCCCAGGAGCAGCGTCAGGATTTAAATGCTTGTTTCCTGCCTCTTTGTGATTTCGTTTGCTGACGGTAACCTTGCGTGGTTTGATTGCTTAACATACTTGTAAAACAGGAAAAGAGGAAGAAAAATACAGCACAAAATACAGCACAAAACCCCACCTCACGCTAAAAGCTGGAGCAGAGGCTGCAGCTGCCTGCACCGTGCCGGCTGCCTCTTCATGGGTGCTCCCCACCGCTGGCACCTTTCAAGGTGCCTCAGGTTCTGCTGGAAATCCCGACTAATCCATCCATAAACAGTTTTGCTCCAGACCATTAGAAATACTTAGTTCTAAGAACGTGGATACTTTTTTTTTTTTAATATCTAGAAGGTATTTTTTGGCATGCGCCTCCTCAAAGCCAACGCTAGAGGTTTCCATGCTGAGACCTGACACGATAAGCAGCGCTGCGATGGCCTGCACCTGCGGGGCGTTTCAGGCTGCGTCTTCCCTGGGCCAAAGCCGTTCCAGCTGGAGCAGCTCCCAGCCTGCTCCTTTCACACACAGCAGATACCAGGACTGCCTTCCAGCTCTCCAAAATGCACCGGGTGATACGAGAGACCCGGGTGCCGCAGACCGCTCTGGAAGCTGCAGCAGAAGGTGCCTCTATATTTCACTTAGTTTTCAGCCATGTTTTGCTTTTCTCCCTGGCTTTGGCGGTGGAGCTCTCACCCCAAAGGACAACTGAGTGCTTAGGAGTAAAATTCACTCCAGACACGATTTTAATTGCTCCTGGAGGTAGGAAGGGTGCCTGGCTCGTAGCCGCAGGACAGGTATGTAGATTCGTCTACTGATGCTGACGTACCTCTTGCTCCCTTTAGCCATTTCTGAGTTCAGGGCAGTCGTCTCAAGCTGTCCTCCTTGAGCATCTGAGGGGCTCTGAGGCCCTATCCCACTGGGTTTGGGGCATGGGGGAGAGGTGAAAGTGCCCTGGATCTGTGCTGGAGACATTGCCCATGCTATGGGGGTGATCAGGGGTGACCAGCCCTGGGCTCTCTGTCCTTGGGCATCGCCTTTGCCAGCGAGCAGGATGCATGCAGCAGTGGCAGTTTGGTTTGGGGAGGTGAGGTTTGGGGGTCTCACCTGGAGAAGGTACCAGCATCCTGCTCCCAGCAAGGCTCAGATCATCCAAAAGCTTTGGGGACTGTGTGACCCCGTCATGGCAGGACAGTCCCCTCGCACAGCCTTTGCTTTGTTGCAGTAAAACTGGGTCGGAGGGGGGGCTTTGGAGACTCCTGTGATGCCCCCGGGCTTGCAGAGCCCCAACTGTCTCATCCACCCACCCGCCACTGGGCTTCAAAAGCCGGCACAGGACACGGGGTACATTAAATAGCAGGGAGATACACATCAGCATGAGATGGGTGCGGGGGAGGCAGGCTGGGGACCCTGGGGACACTTTGCAGGCAGGGGTGCATCCCAGGGCACCCCTCATCTGCAGGGCGAGCCGTGTCGGTGACAAGAGCAAACCCTGTGAATCCCTGGTGCCTCCTCGCCCCGCTGCCTGGGCCGCGTTCAACGCCGCGGCCGCTCGCGCCATAGAAGGGAAGATAAAGCCGTGGCTTCCCAGAGGCTCCGAGTTTTCCTGCTCTCTCTGGCAACTGCGCTTCCCCCCAGCTTCAGAAGGGGGGCTGCAGGGGAGGCGGAGGCAGGGCCGCCTGTTTGCTTCGCCTCACTTTTTTTCCCAAGCCAGGCTCCCTAATCTGGTCTGTGTTTGGCCACGCCGCTGTGACAGCGGGGCCAAGCTGGGGTGCAGCCGGCACAGCGGGGTCCCCAGCACCCCATGGGCTGCAGGGCTAGTTTCGCTAGAGACCGGTGTTTTTAGGGGTGACTTTGGCTGGAGCTGGAGAGCAGCAATGTGTCTGCAGGTGGATTCCCTCACCCACGGTGCATCTGCACCCCTGCCCAGAAGCAGGACCTGGTGATGGGCATCAGGGGCAAGATTTGCCCCGCACCGGGGAGGCTGAGCTGTGAGAGCAGGCAAGCTTTGCTTCTGTCTTTCAGCAACAGATAAAAATATATCCATACATTTTTTTTTTTTTTTTTTTCCCCTTCTCTCTCCTCCTCCCCTCTAAGTGACTAAATTAAACCCATGCAGGGCTGGAAGACATCCCGCGGAGCTGTGTTGCTGAAGGCAGCTCCCGGCTCTGGGTTATATCAGCCCCGCGGCAGCAGTGGGAGCGTGCGGGAGCGCGCGGGGCCGAGCGGCACATTCCTGTGCTCCTGAGGTCATTGCTTACGATGCTGCCAGCCCTCGCCTGCTGCCAGCCCTGCACAGGGTCAGCATCACCTCTGATTTATGGTTATTTTTCAGTTGTCGCTTCTGTGTCAAAGCCCAGCTGTGTAAAGCACAGGCAGAGGGGTGTGTTTGGGGTGCTGCAAGGGACCAGGGACCAGGCTCACCCTGGGCACCCCAGGACGGGGCACACGGAGGGTGGCAAGGAATTGCCACAGCCAGAGCCCTGCCAAGTGCTGCCTGCTCTCCCCCACTAAGTATTTTGCTGCCAGAGCCTATTTTGCACCAGCACCATGTTGGGGGGTTTGTGAGCATCCCCCAGGTTTTCCAGCTGGTGGCTGGCAATGCCATGTGGCAAAGTGGCCAGGACACAGGGAAACAGCACGAGCTCAGGGCTGGCAGAGCACAGGGTGCCTGGCTGCAGGATGTCCTCTGCCACCCTTTGTCCCCCCCTGCTCCAACCCCCTCTCTCTCTGCCAGAGACAGCTAACAGCCCAGCAGCAGAGGGGACCGGCTTCCCAGGAGCTCACCGCCTTGAAGGCAGAGAATGGTGAGAAGAAAATACATGTCTCCCCCGTGCCCCGCTGTGCTTTCTCAATGTGACATTAAGAAAGCAGTAGGACAGACCCCAGGACAGCCAGCCTGTGCTGGGGCCAGGAAGGACCTGATCTAGTTAGCAGTGTCCCTGCTCACTGCGGTGGGGTTGGACTAGATGACCTCTAGGGGTCCCTTCCAACCCAAAACATTCTATGATTCTATGATGGGGAGGATGGCTGCAGCTTCCACAGGGCGCCGGTGCAGGCGGGCAGATGTGGTGGGGATGGCGTCCCGTCCTCTCGGGCAGACAGGTGGTCCCCAGACCTAACAAGCCCTGTCCTCGCTGAGCCTGCCAGAGCCATCCCAATTAGTGCTAATTTGCACCAGTGAGATGGGGGGAGGTATAGCCAGTGCTGCCCTGTTGCCTGAGGATGGGAAGGAGAAGGCAGCACCCGGAGAGGAGCCAACGGAGAGCAGGAGGCTCCTCCAAGGCCAGGAGGAGGAGGAGGAGCACCTGCGGGATGCTGGCCGGGCAGGGACCGCGAGAATCACCCAGGACGTTAACATCCAGGTCAGTCGAAAAGGCGAATGCTGCTGGGGGCAGCGGCCGGGCAGGGCGCATGTGGCCAGCCAGGGCTTCCCAGGCAGCGATCACAGACCTGCCATGCGCTGGGCTGGGCTCTCCCATTTTTGGGAGAAGGAAGGGGTTAGGAAGCCTGGAGCAGTGCGGGTCTGGCAATGAGGATGCCAGAGCATCCCTTACACCGAGTCAGACACGTAGGGATCCTCATCTCCCTGCCTCCCAGGTGGAAAAGGGAAAATGCCTGGATCTGGAGGAGCGGTTTGATGCCCTGAGGAGGGAGCACACAGAGACCCTGCAAGGTGCGTGCCAGGACAGCAGGGCTCCCTGCAGCCACCCTGCCCACTCCCCCCACCCTGCCGGTGCCCCTCCAGCTCCCTGCAGGGTCGTGGGGATGCTGCCCCTCCTGCTCTGCAGCACTGTGGGGCTCAGGTGGGGTTTGCTGGCCCAGTGTCCCCGCACCGGTGATGCTCAGTTCACGTCCACCCTTGCAGAGCTGCAGAGAGCGCATGAGCAGGAGAAGCTGCTGCTGGCAGAGTCCCACCACAGGTCCCAGGCAGCCTTACAGGTACCCATGGAGAAATACCTGGGGAGAGGGTGCTTGGGAAGGGCTTGAGGAGCATCTGCTGGCTCTGCCAAGGCACCCTGAGCTCCTCAGTGGCCACCTCGGTCCCTGGTGTGCCCGGGGACCACGCAGGCTCCTCCAGCCCTGCGGTTATGGGAGTGCTGTAGCCTAGCAGTGCCCCTGCTCAGGAAGAAATCCCAGACACCTCCCATCCTGCTTCTTCCCCGGCTGCCCTAGGAGACGATCCAGGTGCTGAATTCCCAGCTGAAGTCCTTCCAGGAGAGGATGAAGCGGGTAGAGGCATCACTCTTGAGCACAGACTACAAGAAGCACATCCAGGTACAGGGAGATGCAAGACTGGTGGAAGGGTGTCAGGGAGGGGACCTGCTCTGGGGTTCTGGCCCAAAGCCAGAGGTGCTTCTCTGAGGGAACCTGAGAGCAGGGGTCTGGAGCCAGGGAGGGGCACAGGACAGCTAAAGGGGGAAGCAAAGCCCCATCCCCGGGAGGTGCATGGGCTGTTAGGGTCCCTTGAACACAAGCGATGGGCGAAACGTGGTGCCCTGTGGGTACGAACCCATCCTGGGCCATGCAGGACCCAGCTGAGAGCACTGGCCCGCTGGGATCCTGCGTGGAGGGGAAACACGGCAGATGCCCCGAGTGCCCACCCCGCTGCAGCTGCCCCACCCCCTGTGC